GAGTCGTCCAGTGCACCGGAGGGTCACTGGGTGTGTGCGGTGTTTCTCTCTCTCCCTCTCCCTTCCCCTCTACAAGAGAAGTGAAAGTCTGAAGATTAGCAATTTTTATTTTATTTTTTTAGAGAGAAAGGAAGGGAGAGGGAGAGAGAGAGAAGCACTGATGTGAGAGTGAAACATCAATCCACTTGGCTGCTTCCTGCACATCCCCTACCCGGATCGAGCCCATACCCTGGGCATGTGTCCTGACCAGGAATCAAACTGGCAACCTTTTGGTACACAGGATGATGCCCAACCAACTGAGCCACATGGGCTGGAGCTGAGAATTAACAATTTAGTTGTTACTGGCAAATGCCTTTCAGTTCCTTTGTAAAAACGTCTTTATTGAGATAGACTACATATAGAATACAATTAGCTCATTTAAAGTGGACAATTCAACCCTAGCCGTTTTGGCTCAGTGGATAGATCATTGGCCTGTTGACTGAAGGGTCCCATGTTAGATTCCGGTCAAGGGCATGTTCCTCGGGTGCAGGCTTGATCTCCAGGGCCCATGTGGGAGAGAGCTCTCACATCGATGTTTCTCTCTCTGTGTCTCTTCCCCTCCCTTCCACTCTCTCTAAAAATCAATGAAAAAATATCCTCGGGTGAGGATTAACAAAAATAAATAAATAAATAAATAAATAAATAAATAGGACAATTCAATAGTTTTTAGTGTATTCATAGAATTGTACAACCATCACTACAATCAATTTTATAGCATTTTCATCATTCCCAAAAGAAACTCCTTCTCCAGTACTGGTAACTCCCCATTTGCTCCCAACCCCTCTCCCGCTTCAACCCTAGGCAACCACTAATCTACTTTGTCTCTAAATTTGCCTATTCTGGACATTTTATATAAACAGAATCATTCAATTTATAGTCTTTTGAGTCCGGCTTCTTTCACTCAGTTTTCAAGGTTTACCCACGCTATGGCATGTATCAGTACCTCACACATTTTTAGGGCTAAATAATATTCCATTACATGGACATACCACTTTTATTTATCCATTTATCAATTGATGTCCATTTCAGTTATTTATTCTTTATGGTTATTATGAATAGTGCTGCTGTGAATACTTACATACAAATTTTCATATAGACATGTTTTATTTCTCTTAGGTACATACCTGGGATTAGAATTACTGGGTCATATGGTTACTGTATGCTTAACTTTTTTAAAAATATATTTTTATTGATTTTTTACAGAGAGGAAGGGAGAGGGATAGAGAGTTAGAAACATTGATGAGAGAGAAACATCGATCAGCTGCCTCCCGCACCACCCCCACTGGGGATGTGCCCGCAACCAAGGCACATGCCCTTGACCGTAACCGAACCTGGGACCCTTCAGTCCGCAGGCCAGCGCTCTATCCACTGAGCCAAACCGGTCAGGGCAAGTATGCTTAACTTTTGAAGAACTATCAAACTGCGTTCCAAAACGGCTGCACCATTTATTTTTTAAATATATTTTTATTGATTTCAGAGAAGGGAGAGGGAGAGAGAGATAGAAACATCAATGATGAGAGAGAAATCATGGATAGGCTGTCTCCTGCATGCCCCACACAGGGGACCAAGCCCACAACCTGGGCATGTGCCCTTGACCAGAATCGAACCCGGGACCCTTCAGTCCGCAGGTCGATGCTCTATCCACTGAGCCAAACCAGCTAGGGCTTCACCATTTATTTTTACCTCCTCACCCGAGGATATGATTTACTGATTTTAGAGCAAGAGGAAGGGAGAGAGAGACAGAGAAACATCAATGTGAGAGAGAAACACCGATTGGTTGCCTCCCGTATGCCCCCTCACCAGGGATCAAACCCACAACCTAAGTATGTGCCCTGACCAGGAATTGTACTGACAACCTAGACAATACAATTTGAAGTGATCATTCAGAATTTACAGGTTTAGAAAGCATCACTGCTTTAGCAAATAATAATAAAGGTCCTGATCTCATAAGCCGTCTTGTTTGTATATTAGCCAGATCTGCATTGTGCAAGAACCGAACCCATGAAAGAAAATCAGCAGAAGAAGGTACATTAAAACAAATTTAAGAAAACACAAGTTAGCCATTTGCAGCTAAGGGTTTTCATTAGTTGTATAATCAAAGAGCTAGAAATAAATGTCAGAACTTCCTGTGTATCGCTGATGATTTGTTGTTTATAGGTATACCTATGTGGACTGCATGCTGGAGCTCTTTTATACTATGGGTTTTAGCCACATGGTTAGTTGTTTTGCTGTCTTCATGATGCCTTGCTCTAAAGAAGTATTCCCACTTCAGCTAACTATGTGGACCTGGTCAAACCTGGTTAAAATTCTAGTGCTGGAATCGCTTTACACTGTTTCTCTTCCACCAAGGACTTTGGGAAGCTTACATGAATGATATAATACAATAAAATAGAAAAATAAAAAAGAGTCACAAGTCTAACTGGTAATAAACCAAAGTACTAAATAGAATATTAAAAAATCCAGCCCTAGCCGGCTTGGCTCAGTGGATAAAGCGTCAGCCTGCGGACTGAAGGGTCCCGGGTTCGATTCTGGCCAAGGGCACATGCCTGGGTTGCGGGCTCAATCCCCCGTAGGGGACATGCAGGAGGCAGCCGATCAATGATTCTCTCTCATCATTGATATCTAACTGGTAATAAAAGAAAGTACTAAATAGAATATTAAAAAATCCAGAAGATTTTGATAAGTGTTAGGATACGGTGCTGATGATAAAGTGTCATCTGTGAAATAATTTGTTTTTTGACAATATGCAGAGAGTTTGGTATTTTTTTTTTTGCATTTCCTTACCTTGAGTATAATTTTTGTTGTCAATACCAAAGACTACTTTTTAAAATTTTCTTTGTCTTGAGCTACTATTTTAAAAAATATATTTTATTGATTTTTTTTTTTTTTTACAGAGAGGAAGGGAGAGGGAGAGGGATAGCATGTAGAAACATTGATGAGAGAGAAACATCGATTCAGCTGCCTCTTGCACGCCCCCTACTGGGGATGTGCCCGCAACCCAGGTACATGTCCTTGACCGGAATCGAACCTGGGACCCTTGAGTCTGCAGGCTGATGCTCTATCCGCTGAGCCAAACCAGCTAGGGCGTGAGCTACTATTTTAAAATAATATTTTTATTTTTCTAATTTAAAAAGAATATATTGTAGGAAGTAAAAAATATAGAAAAGTATAAAGAAGAAAATAACATTAAAAATTACCTTAATATTAAAAATGTCCTTAGTTAGAGATAGGTGAGGTAATGGATAACTGGTTATGTGATATTGATCATTAGACTTTTAATTAGAAATTGTTACTGAGGCTAATCATACCACCAGATTTTCCTCTCTGCCCCATTTTTTCTATTACTGACATTTTGTGCAAAGAAAAAAAAAATCCTAAGAGGGAGATGTAGGAAAGAGAGGCAATAGCAAATAAAATTTCTGTCAGATGTCCTACATAAAACTTGGAAACAGAATGTGTATGAGTAATTCTTAGCTGTGAAATCATTCTAGTAGTAGTTTGTGTTTGGTGCCTTTTCCTAAAGGCATTTATTTTTGGTATGTGGAACGATTATTCTGTAATATTTGAAAGAGAAAAAACCCATAAGCCTGATAGTTCCATATTTTAATTCTGTGCTTTAAGAAGCATAAATTTATAGAGCCGATTTCTGGATAATAGTAGATATATATACTGAAAAAATTATTTTTTGTTAATCCCCACCTGAGGATATTTTTTCCATTGCTTTTTCAGGGAGAGTGGAAGTGAGATGGGTGGAGGGGTGGGGGAGAGAAAAAGTGAGCAAGAGAGAAACATCCATGTGAGAGAGACACATTGACTGGTTGCCTCCTGCACGTGTCCCAAGCGAACTTCCACCCCAAGTACGTGCCCTTGATCAGGAATCAAATCTGTGAAGGCAGATGCTCTAATCACAGAACACCAGCTAGGGCTATAATGAAAAATGGGATTAATACGAACAGTATATACTGGAAGAGAGTCCCCCAGGAGAAATGAGTTAGCCAGTAGAAGGCAATGATTGTTCTGAAGCAAAATAATATTAAAGATGCCAGAGATATGGTCAGCTTTATGCCAAATGAAATACGGACGTGCTTTGAGATGAGCCGCCCATGATCAGCCTTTTTTTAAATTGTTATTTTTATAACTGTAACTTGGATTTCTTTCTATAAAAAAGAGTGGGTGGTCTTCTTGCTTTTCGAACACCTTTGAGACAAAATTTAGACAAAGATTTTATCCTAGCCCTAGCTGGTTGGGCTCAGTGGATAGAGCATTGGCCTGCGGACTGAAGGGTCCCAGGTTCGATTCCGGCCAAGGGCACATGCCTGGGTTGTGGGCTCAGTCCCCAGTGGGGGGTGTGCAGGAGGCAGCCGGTCAATGATTCTTTCTTATCATTGATGTTTCTCTCTCTCTCCCTCTCCCTTCCTCTCTGAAATCAATAAAGAAATTAAAAAAAAAAGATTTTATCCTAAATTTGTTGTATAACTCAACCTCCTACAGCAATGGGCGTTTAACATTGGTGTTTTAGTTGAAGGGAAAAGGAATTTTTGAGTGGAAGAGGTTCAAATTTTAAGTATGATTAGTTTTGTGTTTAGAAAATAAAAACACCACATTTTAGCTCTAAATGTCTAACCAATTTTAAGCAGGAAAATTCTAGATAAAGAAAGAAGAAAGTAAGTATTTTTATAAAATATATTTTTATTGATTTCAGAGAGGAAGGGAGAGGGTGAGAGAGATTGAAACATCAATGATGAGAATCATTGATTGGCTGCCTCCTCACTCCCCCCACTGGGGACTGAACCCCAACCTGGGCATGTGCCCTTGGCTGGAATCGAACCTGGGACCTTTCTGTCCATAGGCTGACCCTCTATCCACTGAGCCAAACCAGCTGGAGCAGAAAGTAAGTTTTGAAGTAAATATTTTTGTATTTCAGTAGCCTCTACAAAGAATGAATATGTACTTATCTTACACAGGGTGAAGGTTGCGAGGATGGTATTACAGTAGTTTCAGTTGCTCTTGAAATTATTTGTGTAATTTCCACAAGCAGATAGTCTACAGCAGTTATTTGGAGGTCATTATGAGAGGCCAGATAAATATTTATCAAAAGCCAGAAAAACTAGAATGCAAGGCCATAAGACAATCTTGTTTTCTAACTTCTGTGCATTGCAATGTTTATGCCACAGCCTCAGCATCTAGGTGAGAATAATAGTGACATACTTAATAACTAGAAAAAGTTTCAAACATTTGTAGAATGTGCAGTAAGAAAAAAAAATTCATTATGATTTTTTTTCTAATCCTCAAGATACAAAGACGCCTGTGCAGAATCAAATATCTGCCTTATTTTGTGTCCTCAGTTACCTGGCTTTTCACTCTAGGGACTACAACTAGCTCTAACTATTTCATGAAATAATTTTATTAATTAAAAAAACAATTATATATTTAACATAATATAATCTATAACTATATATTTAAATATAAAATAATTTATATTTAAAAAATATTTTTATTGATTTCAGAGATGAAGGGAGAGGGGGAGAGATATAGAAACAACAATGATCAGAATCATTCATCGGCTGCCTCCTGCATGCCCCATCCTGGGGGTCAAGCCTGCAACCTAGGTGTGTACCCTGACCTGGAATTGAACCGTGACCTCCTGGTATATAGGTTGACGGCAGCCGGGTCACTGGTTTATTCTTGTATGTGTCCTGACCGAGGATTGAACCCGAAACCTTGGCATATTGGGACAATGCTCTAACAACTGAGTGGCCCAGGCTGGGGTGAGGACTTTAATTCAGTCTTTTGGTATATAGACTTGATTAATTGCTTTTATTTATTTATTTATTTTTGGATATGCATGTGCTTCACTTTTCAAAATAAAATGAGAATAATCTATTCTGCCTTAGCCACAGACATGGCTAGCCCTGGAAAATGTATGAAGTGATCAAGTTTGTCCACATTTCCTCTCTTGTTCCTTTCAGTATCTGTTTTCCTTTTGGACAACTCCCAAACCCAATCAATACCCTCATACTTCTTTCCCTCTTAACAGATGTCTTCTGGATTAACTATTAGAAAATATGTTATTAACTAATTCATACGAAAGGTATAAAAGACTGATTATGAAATTAATGTGGCGTAGGTGGAGTTAACCTAAAATTTAATAAAGGAAAATGACTCTTGGAGAAAACAAAAAACCTGTCTAATTTGAAATTCAGGCACCATACAGGTATCATTCATATCTGTTCTTTTAAAAACAGTGAACTATATATTTTTCTCTGATTGTAAAGCTCTTGCATGTTTATCATAAAAATACTATAAATTATAAAAACGAAGATAAAGTCATGCAAAGAGGGAATCATTTTGTTTGGAGTGTGGGGTCAGGGGCATCTTCTCAGAGGTAGTACAATCTGAGCTGGGTGTCAAACGGTAAAAAGGATTAATGAGCTAATCAGAGGGGGAAAGGGCATTCTTGGCAGACAAAACAGAAAGTGCAAAGGCACGAAGGCATGTGTGTTTGAGAAACTGTAAGTTCTCTGGTATCCCAGAGGTCTGTGAGGGCAGAGACTTTGATAGTTTTGCTCATTATGTCCAAAGCAGCCTCGTACAGAGCCTGGAGCACAGTGGACAATACATATTTGCCGAAGAAAGGAACGAATGAGCGGGAGCCTCTGTTCCATTTTAAGGAGCTTGGATTTACTTAAGCTAGTGCCTCCCATTGGCTGGGCCGAACTGGAAGCCGGTGGGCAAGGGAGTGTTGGAAATTTAGTTTGAAGGAGTCAGCCCCTGTAAAAAGAAGAGGAGGGAAGGGAACGGAACTGAGCAAACAGGGAAACGATCCACACCTTTATTATGGCCTTACCAGCCTCGTATGATGTGGCACATGCCTACCTCTCTAATTTAATCTCCTATGCTTTAATAAATTGGCCTCCTTTTCATTCCTCAGACATACCAAAACACTGCAGCACCAGCAATTACATCTCATGATTCCTACAGTGGCAATCTGGAAAGCATGTGTCTCTTTGAAGCTTCCATCAGTCGGGGGACTTGAGTAACTACAAGGAGCAGAGTCCATGTAGTAAAGGTTGTGCTGAGCTACCCAGATTTACCCTTCAGGACTCAAGTACAACCTCTCCCAACTGCTGGAGATGTTGGTGGCTGCCAGCTGGGTCCCTCTCTGGGGTTGTTCTTGGCTAAAGAAAGCGCTCTATCCCAAGGTTGTCTCCCTTCCCTAGGGGCAGACCTGTTCAATGACTGGTTGATGTGAGGGTAAAAAGACCTGGCCCCTGCCCCAATTTAGGACAGTGTTGAAGGTCCACCCCTCAGTGCTCTCTGCAGAATTGGCTAAAGCAGTGGTTCTCAACCTTCCTAATGCCGCGACCCTTTAATACAGTTCCTCATGTTGTGGTGACCCCCAACCATAAAATTATTTTCGTTGCTTCTTCATAACTGTAATTTTGCTACTGTTATGAATCATAATGTAAATACCTGATATGCAGGATGTATTTTCATTGTTACAAATTGAACATAATTAAAGCATAGTGATTAATCACAAAAACAATATGTAATTATATGTGTTTTCTGATGGTCTTAGGCGACCCCTGTGAAAGGTCGTTCGACCCCCAAAGGGGTCGCGACCCACAGGTTGAGAATGGCTGGGTTAAAGCGTCATTTACAACTGTGTTGCACTTTAATTTCTCCCTCTGCCTGATCGTGTGACCCTCCGCTCCAAAGAGATCGTCCCTAGAAGCACTATCTATCCCATAACCTCCTGCATGAAAATCTAAGAGTTTTAGGGGTCTGTTCCATAGTGAACCCCACTGTGATAGGCCACCTGTTGACTTGTATCAAACATGGTCAAACAGGTAATGGAGTGTGAGAAATAAACCTTTGTTGCAATAAGCTGCTGAGATGTTTGTTACAACGTAGCTTATCTGACTAGTACAGACACCAAACCTTGCCTGCCTGGCCAATCCTTTGTTTTCACTGGAGTGGAAGTGTCTTCTCTTAGTGGGCAGATGGATTGCCAAGTTCTAGTTCTTCTCTCCTGTTCTTTCTCATAGTGAGTTAATAGCCATGTCCCAATGGAGCAACAGAAGCAGAAGGTTGCCTATCTGGTTGTCTACTAATTATCCCTACCAAGTCAGTGGCATGTCTTTTTTTTTTTCTTGTGAATTTTCTAGGGCCCTTTCTTCTTTTCTATATACTTTATCACATATTTACAATTTACAAGGATGCTTGTTGTTTCTTAGAACAATTTTTATGCAACTAAAGAGAGAATAACCAAGGACTCGGTCCCAGTACTTGATTGAAAAGCTGTAAACTACCAATTAATAAACCTTCTGTACCTTCACATACTTAAAATCCTTTTTCTCTGGAGTGCGAGATCTGATTTCTTGAAAGTCAAATGGTAAGACAATACCAGTTTCTTATTTTAGGCCTCTTGGGCAAAACAAAACATATTCATAAAACGAATGAACCAAAACATATGCCCCTTCTAATTTTTTTTTTTTTTAAAAAGGGATTTTACTTTATAGAACTATTTCCCTCTGCCTGAAGGGTATACCGTATAAAAATAGTTCCACTAAAAGGAGTCTGAGACTCCTGGGCTGGTATTACACAAACCCCTAATTACAGAAGATATTTAGTATGATAACAGCAACTAGTTTAAGGAATGTGGAGATTTATTTACATCAAGCTCAGAGAGAGATAAAAGGGGACTGGAATAATCTACCAGAGAGCCATGTATCCGTGAATGTACCTTTGGAATTGCCTGTAGCCAGAATGAAAGACCAGCAAAACCAGCTTTCAGAACAACCCTTCTGCTCAGGAGAAGGGAAGGCGAGGCTTCACCTCTGAAATCGCCCTCCCACGCAAATTTTCCACCTCGCAGCTCAGAATTAAACCCAGACTTCCGATCATGGCGCCACGCACGTCACCTTCTCCCTTCTTCTCCCCCCGCAAAATCCCACCCAAGTCGGCCTGATCCCACAGGCGCGCGTCGGGGCTGCAGGGCGAGGTTGGGGGTGGTGGTGGGGGCGGGGGTGGAATCTCTTCCCCTATCCTGGTTGCTTGGGATCTTGCAATTAAAAAATTACCAAGCCCGATCCTTTCCAGATTCGAGGAAGCTACAAACAGGACCTTCTGATTTTTCTGATTTCCTGGGGCGCGAAGACTCGGTTACTGCAACCCCCACCCCCCGCCCCCCGTGTCTTAAAAACGCCCTAAAGCCCCGGCCTTCGTGAATAAAGGCCCACCCTCACTGCACAGATGTGCACAGACACAGCAGGACGCTGCGCAGAATTTTAATAGAAGAGCGTGTTCTTTCTGGCCTCGCGCCCTTTCCTGGGGTCGGCGTTCCTGTCCACTCGGAAGGGCCACGGGAACCGGCGCCGGCGGCGAGCGGGACGCCGACAAGAGCAGGAAGACCTCAATGCCCGTTTAAGGGGGGTCTTTCCGATTCCGGCTTTTGTTTCCGCCGGCGAGGGGAGGCCGCGGAGGCCACGGGCTCCGGCTCTGGGACAGGCGTGACCGTCTGCATCCTCAGGCTCCGGCCCCAGGAAACAATGGGGGCAGGTCTGCCCCTCCAGGCGTCCTTCGAGCCCAGAGGACACCGCGACGCCAGCCGGGGTCTAGATCGCCCGGCTCGGGACACTCACACACGCGCACACACACACACGTGTGCGCCTCTGGAAGGAATGTGTGTAGGAAGCAGAACAGCCATTTCTGCCCGCATCACCGGCCGCCAGCCCCACCCGGCCCTCGCGGGTTCGGGCGAGACACCCA